AGGCAATGGAGGTGGTGGCAGCATTGGGAGTGGTGGAGGGAGTGGGGGCGTTGGTGGCGGCGGTGGAGGCTGCGGTGGGAGTGGCGGCAGTGGCAGCCGTGGCAGTGGTGGCGGTAGGACTGGAGCTCAGCATAGAGGTTCTAGAGGAGGCCAGCGGCAGCGACAGCAGCGTCGGAGCGAGACCCCTTCGCCCCAGCAGCTTCGTGAGAGGTTGTATCGGTGTGGGGCATCTGGGGGTAGTGTGAGCTGCCCGTATGGCATTCGCACGGGTGACCGTGCTGGTCAGACATGCGGGAAGGCGCACACACAGCACCGCTGCTTCTCCCGTCTCGACGACGCGTGGTGCGCTGAGTTTGGTGAAGAGGCCGAGCGCCCACACTGGGCAGAGCTGCTTAGGTATGGTGTTGCGATCTTTGACCTAGACTATGATGCTATTCTTTCTGCTATGTATGCTTTGTCTGCTAGTGCTGAGGGTGACTGTTACCGGTGTGTGATGCCTGACCCATGTATAAACACTGCTCCTCTAGGTGCTAGTGAGTCTGTTCTCCCTGGTACTGCGCCTGCTGAGGCCTTGCACACCTTCACACTGGACTCAAGTGCCTCACGCTGTTTCTTTCGTGACAGCACCACCCTCACTCCTCTCCCTGCACCTGTCCCGGTCCGACTGGCTGACCCCTCCACGGGCCCGCTCGTTGCCCGTTCCTCCACTGTCCTCCTGTGTCTGGCGGTTCCGTCCGGCTCACTGTCAGGTCTTCACCTCCCCTCGTTCTCTACGAGCTTGGTGAGTACCGCTGCCCTCCAGGATGCGATGGTCACTACCACCACTCCTGGGGGTCAGCGTGTGTCGATCTGCACATGTACACGGACGGGCCGTCACCTGGCCACGTTCACTCGTCGGCTAGGGTCGAGTCTGTACACACTCCCTACCGAGCCTCCTCACGTAGCTACGTCTTCTCAGGTGTCCGCATCAGGTCAGGTAGCACCCCCTTGCTCGTGTCGCCTCCTGTCGCACCAGACTCTTCTTTGGCACCACCGCCTGGGTCACCCCTCCCTGCCACGCCTTCGTGGCATGCACTCCCGTCTCCTTGTCTCTGGTCTTCCCAGGTCTCTGCCTCCCCTCCCGCCCTCACCTGCCCCGCCGTGCCTTCCTTGCGTCGAGGGGCGGCAGGGCGCCGCTCCTCACTCCTCCTCGTTTCCCCTGACGACTGCTCCCCTGCAGACTCTCCACATGGACGTGTGGGGCCCTGCCCGCGTCAGTGGACAGGGCCGCGAGTGTTACTTTCTGCTGGTTGTTGACGACTACACGCGTTACACCACGGTCTTCCCCTTGCGCAGCAAGGGTCTGGTCGTTGATGTCTTGATCCCTTGGATCCGCGCAGTCCGTCTCCAGCTCCGCGAGCGGTTCCGTGCGGACCTTCCTGTCCTGCGTCTGCACTCTGACAGAGGTGGTGAGTTCTCCTCCGACCTCTTACGGGACTTCTGTCGTGGGGAGGGCATTCTCCAGTCGTTCACGCTTCTGGACTCCCCTCAGGAAAGTGGGATTGCTGAGCGCCGCATTGGCTTAGTCATGGAGGTCGCTCGTACCTCCATGATCCATGCGGCTGCTCCCTATTTTCTGTGGCCGTTTGCGGTCCGGTACGCTGCGCATCAGCTCAACCTCTGGCCCCGTGTCTCCTTCCCGGAGACCTTGCCTACACTGCGTTGGACTGGGAAGGTTGGCGATGCGTCGGTGTTCTTGGTCTGGGGTTCTCGTGCCTTTGTTCGCGATACGTCCGCGGACAAGCTCTCCGCTCGTGCTATTCTCTGCGTCTTCCTTGGCTTTCCCCCTGCCGCGCCTGGCTGGTAGTTTTACCACCCCACCTCGCGTCGTGTCTTCCCCTCTCAGGATGTCACGTTTGACGATTCGGTTCACTTTTACTGTCTCTTCTCCTACCGCTCTGCCCCTCCCCCGCCCCCGCCACTCTTCCTTGCTCCAGGTCCCCCTCCGGTAGACCCCCTCCCCCCCCAGGGTCCTGCTCCCTCAGGTGTGTCTCAGGTAGACCCTCTCCCTGGTACTGCGCCTGTTGATGTAGCTGTCGGCTCAAGTGCTGCTCCAGGTGCTGCGTCTGGGGGTGCTGAGTGTGGGGGTGCGGAGCCGGGGGTTGCAGAGTCTGGGGGTGCTGGGTTTGGGGGTGCTGAGCCTGGGGGTGAGGAGCCTGGGGGTGCTGAGCCTGCGGGTGTGGAGACTAAGGGTGCTGAGTCTTAGGGTGTTGAGCCTGGGGTGCTGAGTCGGAGGGTGCAGAGTCTGGGGGTGCTGAGCCTCAGGGTGCTGCTTTGTTTGGAGGTCCTGCTGGTGGTTCGTCGAGACTGTCTCCGCAGCAGCTGCGTGAGTGGCTTGTTCGGCGCGCACGCCTTCGGACTGGAGCTACTGGAGCTGGAGGTGCTGGAGTTACTGCTGGAGCTAGTGGTACTGGAGGTACTGTGTGGTGCTGGAGATAACCTACTGGTCCCCGAGGTGCTCGTACCAAGGGTACTGGAGCTGTCGGGACTGGTGGTGTTTGGGGCGCTGGAGCTGGAGACCCTACGGAGCCTGGAGCTGCTGGAGCTGGAGGCTCTGGCGCTGGTGGCGCTGAAGCTCGAGGAGTTGGAGCTGGAGGAGCTGAAGTTGGAGGCACTGGCGCGGGAGGCGCTGGAGCTGGTGGCACTGACGCTGGAGGCGCTGGAGCCGGAGGAGCTGGAGCTGTTGACCATGGAGGCACTGTGCGGCCGCGACCGTACCTCTTTCCCACAGCTGGAGCTGTTGACCCTGGAGCTGTTGTCTCTCGTCTCCTCGCCACTGCGATCACTGACCCTTCCTTTGAGTCTGCTGCTGCGTCTGCCCTCATTGCTGAGCTGCTTGACTTTGCTGTTGCCTGTCGTCTAAACTACGCCACTGCTCTTGTTGCTGAGTCTGAGTCTGCCAGTCCTCCATCCGTCGGGGGTGAGTGTGCTTTTGACACGGACGTCCATGAGGACAAGCAGGAGGACTTTGAGTGTCTTGCAGCTGCTGTACCTCGTTTCGCTTCCATGCTACTTGCCCCTGAGGGAGACCCGGATGCACCAGACATCCCGACCCCGCGCTCTTACCCAGAGGCGATTACGGGTCCTTACTCCTCTCAATGGCAGGCAGCCATGGATGCCGAGATGGCATCCTGGAAGTCCACAGGCACCTACGTCGATGAGGTTCCCCCACCTGGGGCGAACATAGTTGATAGCATGTGGATTTTTAGGGTGAAGCGGCCGACGGGTTCTCCGCCTGTCTTCAAGGCACGTTACGTTGCTCGAAGCTTTAGTCAGCGACAGGGGGTTGACTATTTTCAGACCTTCTCCCCCATCCCGAAGATGACTACTCTTCGGGTGTTGCTGCACGTCGCTGCTCAGCGTGACTACGAGTTGCACTCTCTGGACTTCAGCACAGCTTTCTTGCAGGGCAGCCTGCACGAGGAGATCTGGCTGCGCCGCCCACCTTGCTTCACTGAGTCGTTTCCTGCAGGTACCCAGTGGAGCCTCCGGCGGCCAGTCTACGGTCTCCGCCTGGCGCCTCGCGAGTGGCATGACACACTAAGGACTACACTTGCGGCTCTTAGGTTTGCTCCTTCTACTGCTGACCTGTCGCTGTTTCTACGCACCGACACCACGCTGCAGCCGTTCTACGTCCTCGTCTACGTCGACGACCTCGTCTTTGCCACTGCTGACACCGAGGCACTGACCCTTGTGAAGTCGGAGCTGCAAACGAGACACATCTCCACTGACCTGGGTGAGCTGCGCAGCTATCTTGGCTTGCATATCACCCGGGACAGAGCACGGTGCACCATCACCCTACTCAGTCACACATGGTGCACCATGTCCTTGAGCGCTTCGGCTTCCAGTTCTCCTCGCCACAGCCCACTCCTCTGTTTACCGGCCACTCGCTCTCAGCTCCACCTTCGGACGAGTCCGTAGAGCCGAGTGGTCTGTACCCATAACTTGTGGGTTGCCTCATGTACGTGATGACTTGCACACGACCTGACCTCGCGTGCCCTCTCAGCCTTCTGGCTCGCTACGTGGCTCCCGGCAGGCACCGAAAGGTGCACTGGGATGCTGCGAAGAGGGTATTGCGTTACCTGTGCAGTACGTCGGGCATGGGGCTCGTGCTTGGAGGACGGGGTCCAGTTGTCCTCACTGGTCACGCAGACGCTTCTTGGGTTGACGACTCTGCTACGCAGCGGTCGTCACAGGGTTACACCTTCGGCCTTGGTTCCGCCAATGTTTCCTGGCGGTCTACCCGCTCGTCTTCGGTTCTCAGCTCCAGTTGTGAGGCTGAGATCTACGCAGGGGCCATGGCTGCACAGGAGCTACGCTGGCTACTGTGTTAGGCCTTGTGCATACTTTGCCTCACTTGCTCAGTGCTTGACTCTGCTTGTACTTTAATCTATTCATATACCTGCATTCTTACACTTGCTAGGGTATGATCACTGTATTGTTTGTTCTCTTTTATATAACTCTGCATGTGAACTGGCCTTGTGGCCGTTTGCTTGTGCTCGGACTGTGTGATGACTTTGTGATCCACCCCGAGCTTGCTTTGCTTTTCTTGACTGGTCTTGTGACCACTTGTTCTCCCCCACTTTGCCTATGGGGATGTCTCAAAATATTGTATAGCTTATATTGTGTAGGCTATAGTGGGGTAACCCATAAGCGGTACAACCCAATTAGGGTTAGTACTTGTACCCAACTGTTTGCTAGAGAAACCCTAAGTCGGTTGTACCCTCTAGAACATGCCTTAGGGTTTAACCTATCAACTAACATCTAACAAAAACCACTTGTAGCTAGTAGAAACTCAGGACAAGCTTTTTTGTTAGAGTATTAGTAGGAAGCTCGATCCAACCCAGTACAGCGTGATACGGTAGATATTTACAGCACTGTAGATTACTGTAATACCATCGCATACGATAATAATATTTACTTTATGCTCTATGCCACCACCATAATACTCCATTCCCGCATCATGCATCGTCGCGAGCATCCCTTGAAAACACACAGATGAAGTCCTCTTCTGGCTTCCCGCGCTTGGGCACCCGTAGAAAATCGCTCCTTGGACCAAATAACTCCACATCATGCGCAACACACACGTCCTTAAACTTTTCTTCTGCCCACCCGGGCAGCTCGTCAGGCTGAAGCTCCCTCCCAAACGCCCCCAACCTCGCACCAACCACACCCTTTGCAACCATCAGCATCGTTCTCAAATCCTGCAAATCCCGGTCCGTGAGTTTCACGCTTCGGAAGTGAACATGGTGTGCCTTGCATGCTGCATGCTTGCGCATGCAATCAAATGAGTTCAAATCCTTGAAATCCGCATCCCTCTCCTGCTCATCCCCCTGGCGACACATCTTGAGGAAATACGGAATGCCGGAGTTGAGAGTTAGCGAGTAGTACAAGTCGTGAACCACCTTGTAGGGCATGATTTCGATCACGACGACGCTGCGTCGGGCGAAGAGAGGCACGTTCATGAATGAAGCACTGTGGAGGGATATGATGATGTCGGCTGATTGCATCGCTTCGAACTGCTGGGGGAACGTCAGATGGCCCATCTCGACCATGGTGACCTGCAGAAGAGGTGCGTGTGGATGGATGAAGAAGTTGGAAGATGAACATCAGATGTCCCAACTCCACATCGGTTACGTAAAACCCACCTGAAACCCACCTTAAACCCACCTGAACCATCTGAACCACCTGAACCACCTGAAACCCACCTGAAGGTCCAAATCCTCCATGAGCCTCAGCAGCGCCTCATGGCTCTCCGGTACGAAGCATCGGCGACCCTTCAACTCGGCTCCCAGCCGCGTGATATACAGCACCCGCGGCCGCCACCCCTTCACCCCATCTGCCCCCCACACCACTTTCTCCGGAGGTTCCAGTCCCAGCTTGATCCTCAGGTGCCGGTCCAGGTAGGTGGCTTGGTCGGGGTGGGACGGAAAAGCCACTCCTTTAAAGAACCCCGGGAGGAGGAGGTTTTCGAAGCAGAGGGGGCGGTCTTCGGTGGCGGCATTCCATGCGGATTCAAACTCAACTAGGCCGAATGCCATAGGTGCATCTCCTAGTGTTCTGTGCGCGAGGCTGGTGTGGTTGAGGGGGGAGGGTGAAAGTGGGGGGAGGGTGAAAGTGGTGGGAGGAGAGAAAAAGAGACATTGTTTATGAGAAGCGTTGAACTGCCTGTATACCACAGTGGGGTGACATTCTTAGTTGAGTGTGACTTACCTTGCGTGCTTTGCCTTGCTGTCATTTCGGGTCGACAACATACAGTCGAGGAGAGTATGGGCGTGACAGCGAACTCTGAGTGCAAAATTCATGTGCGTGAGATAACCTACTGGAGAGTGGCTTTCCCTTTTGTGCTCGCTCACACTCCTTGTGTGCTTGCTTTGCTTCTACTGCCAATTCGACAATGTACAGTTGTGGGGAGTTGTGGATGCGAGAGGAGAGTATGGGTGTGACTGCGAACTAGAGTGCAAACCACCCAACTCGTGACATCTGAGTGCAATGGCCTATTGCTTTGCTGAAAGGTTGACAATGTACAGTTGTGGGGAGTTGTGGATGCGAGAGGAGAGTATGGGCGTGACTGCGAACTAGAGTGCAAACCACCCAACTCGTGACATCTGAGTGCAGTGGTCTATTGCTTTGCTGAAAGGTTGACAATGTACAGTTGTGGGGAGTTGTGGATGCGAGAGGAGAGTACGGGCGTGACTGCGAACTCCACCATCGCCTGCATCAGCCGTGCAAACATCGAGTCTGCACCCATCGTTCGCAATCTGCATACAGAGTGGATGGAGGGTCCGAAGGTTAGGGCTTTGGGAATTGCTGAGTGGACTCGAAAAGAAACTCGATCACCGCTTGATGATGTACACACGTGGAGCCTGCACCCATCGTTCAAATTCTAGGCACTGGGTTGATGGATTGATGGGTTGATGGATTGATGGAAGGATCAAGAAGGTGTCGGGTGTGGGGGAAACATGCAAAGCAATCTGCAATTTGTTGTTTCAACGATGTACAGAACGAGATTGTATGAGAACAATCACTCTGAATAGAACACCTTGAAAAAACTCTCCTGGAAAACAGCATGAAACCATTTTTTAGGCTACTCACCTTGCCACAATCCCCACGCTGCTCACCGTTCAACGAACATCTCTTCGCGGGGCAGCATGAAGCGAGCCCACGTTGCTCACCCTCACCTTGAAACAGTCCCCAAGCTTCTTCCCTTGCCACAATCTCACGCGGCTCACCGTTCAATGAACATCTCTCCGCGAGGCAGCATGAAGCGAGTCACGGTGGATTGCAGTGCAGCGGGTGCTGTGAAATTGTTGGCCAGGAGTAGCGTGAGAATTTTCTCTGGAAGAAAGAAAGAAAAATGGAAGGAAAGAGGGGGGGATGGGGAACAGGAGAGTAGGGGGAGCGGGGGCGAGATAGGGGCAGCATTTCTCATCCATGAAGCTCTTGGGCAGAGGAACGGAGGGAGAGATAGGGGTTGTGGGGGCTTTCTTTGGAGTAGGGGAGATTGGGTTGGGAGGAACGGGGGAGGGGAGGTAGGGACGAACTGGGGACTAGGGGGGTGGAGGTAGGGAGGAACGGGGGAGAGAGTAGGGGTGGCATTTCTCATCCATGAAGCTCTCTTTGTGTGATACCCGCCCAGTGGTGATTCCCACCCACCAGAATAGTGAGCAATGTTGGTCTCGCTCTTGTTAAACGTCTGCAGCATCGTCGTCCCAAACCGCCAGTCCACCCCGTCCCGACTCCCCACCCACCCTTCCCCACCCCCCTCTCTGCCTCCCCCTCCCCCTCCGCCTCGATCTCCCCCTGCACTCCTTATGCCCAGGCTTTCTTCGGACGTCTCAGCAAAGAAGCTGTAAAGGGCGTCCCTGAACGTCTGTTGCTGCGAGCAGTCCACCGGGGTGAGGGTGGGCGGCTGGCCGGGGAGGGGCGGCACGTGCTCCGTTGCTGGCGCGCACTTTGGTTGTCCCAGAGAGATGAGCTGGTGGGGAGGGGAGGGGAGAAGAGGCAAGCAGAGAGGCGATTGTGAGTTGACTGCCTGGCGTCTCTGCAAAGATAAACATACAGCCTGATAGACTTACAACCTGATAGACTTACAGCCTGATAGCGGTACAAGCCTCATTGCTATAATACCCTGGTGGCACATGAACTGGTGGCAGCAGTGATATCTATCTACAGTGCTGGTAGGGAGTAGCATGAGGAGCTGCCTTATAGACTGCCTGCCTTTGCCATACAAGCCTCATATACCTGATAACCTCATTTACCTGGTAGCCGTTCCAGCACATGGGCGAGCATTTGCACATATACTGGTGGCAGCAGTAATCATTGCGCACGCGGTAGCACGAGCATGTCGTCTGCTGCTGAGTCAGCGACGCCACGTCAGCATTTCTTTCGAACGACGCCAGCATCCTATTCACCTGGTTGGTTGGTGGTGAGGTAGGGAGAGAGGAAAAAACAGCGGATAAATGCAAGCACAGAAGACACACGCAAGGGGGCATGCAAGGAGGCACACAAAGAGGCATGCAACATCGTGACTCACGGCTGGAAGGGCTACAGTGCAGAGATAGCTAAATGGCCAAGAGGTGACTTTTGAGTCGACTCAAAGGTCACCGTGATGGAAGGAAGGCAAGGAAGAAATGAAACGAAGAGGCAGGAGGAAAGCAGTCTAGATCCTGGGGATCGTGAAGCAAGGTAGCTCTTAAAAGGCGGATAGAACCGAGAATAAGCAGCGCTCGTCCTAACATATCATCCAACGGACACGCAACGAGGCACACTATCATAACATACATACGACCTTTGAACGTTGAATTTGCCACATCCAATCCGATCCGATCCGATCCAATCTGATCCCATTCGATCGAATTCGACCATCATCACGGCCTGAAACCCATTCTGAGAATGAGTACAGAACCCGAACGAATCTGTCCGGGCGAGCCAAATGAGGCGTTCTGCGGCAAACCATGATGCCCACCGCCTCATTTGAGGCATGGTTTGCCCTAGTCGTCTTCACAAACTGTGAGTTTGTGAGACCCTAGAGTTCTCATCTCCGAGCGTCTTACGCGCAAGAATATGCAGTTGGTATTTAGCCGTTCTCCCTCCACGCACACGACAGCCCTCCAACACTTTGTTTCTTTGCTTGCTTGCTTGTTTTTTCTCCTGCGTAGATCTAGTCATGAACCCACGCAGGCCCACGACCAGCGATCCGATCGGCTCGCCCTAAGTTCCAATGTTCGCGAGTTATGGAATGGACGACGACTGTGCGTGGCGAATGATTATGCGGGATACGGCAGCTGCGCTGCGCAACTGAGATGCGCGCAGTTCTCCACCTTAATATGCATGCACAAAGCGTCGAGTACTTTTTTCATTTATTTATTTTGAGACAAACTCAAAGTTGGCTCAAAAGCGCCTCCAGAGACGTCCCCAGAAGTCCAGGTACCTTGGTTGGCTGAGCAACACCAGTTCACATGACATAACATGACATGATGACGTTAGCTCTATGGTGGTGGTTTTCAAGATGTCTCAAAGTGAACGATAGTTCACATGACATGGCATTACCTCTAGTAGTAGTACTAATTGAACCCCAAAGTGTTCCGATCTCGCTTCCAGAACCAATCTTTCGTGATGACTCTCGGAACGGGACGAAAGGATTCCCGTTTGTCACCCCCGGGAGACCACTAACTAACACAACTAATAACTTCCGTGACTCCTGGCGTACTAATCGTCGACCAACCCTCACTCGACTCGCTGGTCCGCCTCGTCATTTGATGTCATCTCCGAAGTGACCCATGGAGGGCTCTCCCCCGAGCCTGCAGCGTTTCAAGGCGCCTCAGAAGAAGAAGTTGCTAACGCGACTCAAGACTCTAGAGTGACCCGTGAAGGGGCTTTCACTTGAGCCTGCAGCAGGATTTGAGGCGCCTAGGCGCCGAAAAAGTCTAGAGCGACCCATGAAGGGAGGCTCACTTGAGCCTGCAGCAAGTTGTGAGGCGTCCCAAGTTCTGAATGCGCCTAAAAGACTCTCTAGTGACCCCATCCCATCATGAAGGGCTCTCACTTGAACCTGCAGCAGCCGATCCGCCGCTTCCGTCGCTCGACTCATTGTAGGTCGACTCCGTCGCTCTTTTTAAGGCGCCTAAAAAAAGACTCATTGTAAGTCGATTCTAGCATGACCCATGAAAGGCTCTTGCTTGAGCCTGCAGCTAGTTATGAGGCGCCTCAAATGTTTAAAGTGACCAATGAAAGGCTCTCAGGGGGTTGAGCATCCAGGAAGTTTCAGGGCGCCTCAAATCACTATTCGACATATCAAGGGCTCTCATTTGAGCCTGCAGCTAGTTTTGAGGCGCCTCAAGTTTCAACGCGGCTCAAGAATCTAAAGTGGTCCATGAATGAAGGGGGGCTCTCACTTGAGCCTACAGCAAGTTTGAGGCGCTTCTGAACTCTAAATCGATTCATGGTGGGCTCTCACTTGAGCCTGCAGCAGCCAATCCACCCGCTTCCGTCGCTCGACCCCATTCATTTTTTAAGCGGCTCAGTAATTGACTCATAGTACTAAGTCGGCTCTACTAATCAAAGGGATCTCACTTGAACCTGCAGCAATCGATCCGCCCGCCTCCGTCGCTCGACTCCCAGTTTGGTCGCGCGCACGCCAATCGCGCCGCTGTCGTGATCGTTATGGCTCGCGACGAGGAGCAGCGCAAGCACCAGCGCGCACCACCCACACCGCCGCCATGACCTCGCAGTGGTAGTAGTCACTAAACTGCGCCCCGCCATTGCTATAGCAGCTCTTCAAAACTAGCAGTATCCGAAGCAGTATGGATTCTTGCTACCCTATGGACCTGCAGGGAGTTACTGCTTCAACTGCGGAACCAGCACCGTATGCTCGTGGGAACAACGGTCCGTGAGGGAAGCGATGGCGAGTGAAGCCCTAGAAAAGGAGGTTGTTGAGCGTCTTTCATGAATCAAGCGCATTCTTTTCCGGTGTGTTGTTCTGAGTCGGCATAAATTACACGCTGGGAGGCCCTGGGCCGAGTGTGCCTCATGACTGATGCGCCTTTCTTCCGCATTTGCTGCTGCCGCTTGAGTTGGCTCAAAAAAGAGAGGCTGGGACGCTTTGGGAAGCTCGATTCTCATTAGTCAACGTCCGCCGCTTTGAGGCGCCTGGGAAGGCCTGGGACGATGAGTGAATCTTGCGCCGACTTTTGAGCGAGTGTGCTGAAAAGCTCAGTGCCCGCCTTTCTTCCGCATTACATTCACTTATCACCGCCAAATGGTGTGTTCGCGCAGCGCTGGGGCCTCCCCTCCCCATTTGCTACACTGGCAGAGCTTTTCTCGCTGTGACATGCGCGGTGCAGTGGGAGTACCTGTGGCTGGTGATCGACCCATGCGACGCGAGGCAATCGGGCTGGAAACCTGCGCTCCGTTCCGGTTCGGGGGTCCCAAGAGGCCCCGATGGCGCATGATACGCGCATTCATGCAGCTGCAGACCATGCTTGGTGCTTCTCTAAGGCGTGAGCCGCGTCGCTATGTTTGGGTTTGGGAATGAAGGGACACCGACCAGGTTACCAAGGAAGACCCTTGCAGCCGACAGATATATGAAGGGGTGAGGAGTGAATTGAATGGCATGGCCAAGGGGTGAGGTGAGGAGGAGAGGGAGGGTGAAAGAGGAAGAGGGGGATTTTTGGTTGGGATGGAAAATGGTTTGGAATCTGGGATGGGATGAGATGGGATAGGATTAAATGAATTTGGATGGGATGGGATGGGGTTTGATGGGAGATCCTTTTTTGCTGGGGGGAAGCAAAAAGAGTCTTCACCTGCGCCGGTGACGCTGTCAGTGCGGAAGCGCGGAAACACCCCCGCGGCCCTGCGGGTGGCCGATGCTGCCCGCACAGTTGTGCAGTTGTCTTGCAGAATGCCACATTTCTGGCTTGGTTTCAAACTGTACGAGTCTCGGGAGTCGGGACAATTTTGTGCCCTGTGTACAGTGCCACATCGCCAGGTAATTGGTCTCAAGGCAATTCGGGCTCTCCATTCACCGCGCTGCACGTGGTTTCATTCCTTATGAAATGCAGCACATGGCATGCACACACCCGACCACCACAGCCATAACTGCTCCGAAGAACAAGGAATCGCACAGTCATACATGCAACCATACTGCCAAGGCTGAGGTCAGCGTTCCACAACTTCTGCAGTTGGATGGTTCGAGTTTCGTCTTGAAATTTCTGATGCCGTACTGTTCTGTATTGCTGACTCTGGCACCGTACAGTTTCACCATACCATTTTATTGGCCTGAAACCAGTCTGTCGGTGGTCAGGGACAACTCGAACAGCACATTGTCAGATCATGTCAAAACTTCTAAATATGAAACATGCTTTGAAACAAAGGCGCTCTTATGCATTTGTCAAAAATTGGTACACCTAGCCCCACCACCAATTTAACCAGAATAAAACTAGTTCATGAGTCACACCCTTAACATTTTTGGGCTGCGTAGCAACCAGGTCCTCAGAAGTCAGCGAAAAAATGCTGATTATGGTTAAAAATGTTGGAAACAATTTATTTAAGCGCTTCTGTCGTGTCGAAACACCAAGTCAGAAGCGAAGCGAAACATATCGAAGCACTAGCAAGTCAACCCTCGGAGGTTGAACAACTGCTGGAGGTTACGCGAAAGTCAAAGGTCAGCGACCTTTGACCTGAAAAATACATCGCGACAGCAAGGACAAACAACTGACTCGCTATTGAGCAGTTGCCCGAGTCGTCACTGTATCGAACCGCAACAGCAACAGCAAAACGGTTATTAACTATATCTCTTCGTACCGTATACTCCCGGACAAAACACCCCCCCATAATTGTACACCCCCGGGTAGCTTGTGCGGGGTGGGTGTTATGGGGAGCCTCGTTTCTACTATACCCCCCTTTTTTGCTGATTTTCTATAACACCCCCCTTTTCTTACGAATTCGTTATAATAGTCGTTAACGAGTAGCTGCAATATTGAAGAATATCGCGAAAATTTCTCCCTAGATGAAATTTCGCGGTACATTCACTTACAATCTGTCGAGAATGAAGATTAGGGTCAAGGGTTTGACCTAGGCGAGGGTGACGAGAAGGAAAGTGGCGAGGGAAAAGTGCAAGCCAAAAGAGGGTGTTCACTATGGAGCGAGCAGTACAAATAGGCAAGAATGAAGAAAGGCAAATGGTACACCACCTAGCAGGAAACTAAGATAACTACACTAGGCTACTGTAGGCATTTATATGAAAGTATACAAATACATTTCAACACACCCCCTAAATGCCTACAGTGGAAACCCGTATGTAGCACAAAGTCTGCAGGGGTACAACAGGTGCAGTGGAAGAAACAGAAACAAGCAAGAGCAGTAGTAGCCGGTGCAGGAGTGGCAAATCCAGCTGTAGCACGCCCTCAGCCAA